TCCATTCCCCTTCTCACCTTGAAGTATTGGCCACACCCCAGACAGGACTTGTTTCACATTCTTAACACTTATTTTTGTTAAGCTGGTTAATCCTTTTGATATGCTAAGTCATTAGAATTCCTGAGTTTACCTGAGACATTTCTGTCATGACCCTTTCACACATCATTCCTGATTCAAGTCTCACTAATCCGTTTACATCTCCCACTCCCTCAATTGTTCTCTTTTGAATTCCTGCAGCATAGATCATTAATACTTAGCATATGCTACTTTTCACACTTTGTATTCTTTTCAACTTAAGGCTTACTTCCTCTCCATTCATGTAGAAAAAGACAGTTCTAACCAATGACAATAAAATATATAGAAGCTGAGAGCTCATGCCTGTAATCCTAGCTGCACAAGAGGCTGATATCTTAGGATAGCAGTTTGAAGCCAGCTCCAGATAAGAAAGACCATGAGACTCTAATCTCCAATTAACCAACAAGAAGCTGGAAGTGGAGCTGTGTGGCAACCTAAAGCAGAAAAGCCAATGAGTTCAAGCCCCACTATACACATACCCACCCACCCTCCCACCCCCCCAACACACACACAGAGTGTACTAGAAAGACTAGTAGTAATTAGGAGCTGTGGAAGGTAGAACTAACAGAAGGGTGTGTCCTGGGGCTTGAATTCGGGGTCTGAGTGCTCTCCCTGAGCTTTGGAGCCAGAGCTCCACAGCTCCAGACTAACTTGTTTGTTGCTTTTTTTTTTTTGTCAGTCGTGAGGCTTGAACTCTGGGCCTGGGTACTGTCCCTCCGCTCTTCAGCTCAAGGCTAGCACCCTGCCACTTGAGCCACAGTGCCACTTCCGGCTTTTTTGCTTATGTGGTGCTAAGGAATCGAACCAGGGCCTCATGCATGAAGGCAAGCATTCTACCACTGAGACACCTTCCCAGCCCCTCCAGACTAGCTTTGAACCACAATCCTCAGATCTTAGCCTCTCCAGGAACTAGAATTATAGGCATGAGCCACTGGCACCTGGCCCAAGCATGCTGTTGTAATCAATTTATGCTTTCAGTTTGCTCTGATTTTATTTATTTAATACCAAGGTTTAGTACTTGCCTAATGCTTGCTCTACTGACACTTCATTATTTTTTTCGGTCTTGAGACTTGAACTCTGGGCTTGGGTGCTGTCTCTGCGCTTTTCAGCTCAAGGCGAGTACTCTACCACTTGAGCCACAGCACCACTTCCAGTTTTCTAGTGGCTTATTGGAGATAAGAGTCTCTAGGACTTTCCTGCCCAGGCTGGCTTTGAACCTCGATCCTCAGATCTCAGCCTCCTGAGTAGCTAGGATTACAGGTGTGAACCACCAGCGCCCGACTGACACTTCACTTTTTACTGGTTATTTTGGAGATGGAGTCTCTGGTTTTTGTGCTCCTGCTGGCCTCAAAATGTAATCCTCTAAATCTCAGCTTTCTAAATAGCTAGGCTCCCGGCTTTAATACAACCTTTATAAGAAAAAGAATTGAAGATAATTGGTCTTTATCTAAGTACTTATAAAATAAAAAAAACCTGCTGATTCTGAAAAGTTAAAAAAATGCTTCTAAATATTCCACCTAAGGATTTCTGGCATGTATTTTCCAAGTGGCACCATTCAGGGTTCCTGATAGGTAGGAAAGATAAGCACCAAATGCAGCCCACCTCTCACCTCCCATTAGCTTTCTGCCCATATCTCATGCCCATTTTACTCACCCCACTTATGACAATTACCCACAAGCATGCCTGTGCTACTCACATGTCTGTTTTGGATTATCTTGTGAAATCCGCTTCCTGAAATCCCTCAAGACTAAATTTAGGAGCTGGGGGTATAGCTGGTTCAGTCTCTGGCAATGCAACACACAGACACACACACACACACACACACACACATGTGTTTTCTTCTTTTTTTTTTTTTGTCAGTCGTGGGTTTGAATTCTGGGCCTGGGTGCTGTCCCTGAGCTCTTCAGTTCCAGGCAAGTGTTCTACCACTTGAGCCACAACACCACTACATATGAGTTTTCTATGGAACTTTTTCTAGCCAATATATTATATGTAAATTAATCTCTTTTGGAGTCCAATGATTTTTACCTATTTCTCCTCTCTGTCTCTGTCTGTCTGTCTCTCTGGTACTAATGGGGCTTGAACTACACTAACCTCCTTGGCTATGCATCTGTATATGTATGTGTGTTCCAGTCCTGGGACTTAAACTCAGATCCTGGCATTGTACCTGAACTTTTGTGCTCAAAGCTAGCATGCTGCAACTTCAGCCACAGCTCCACTTCCAGCTTTTTGGTAATTAATTGGAGATAAGGTTCATGGACTTTCCTGCCTGAGATACCTTTGAACCATAATCCTAGATCTCAGCCTCTTGAGAAACTAGGATTACAGGTATGAGCCAATAATGTCCCACAGCCTAATCATCTTTTAATAATAAAGTGGGGGTGGGGGTGGGGGGAGCCTCTGATAGTGAAGATGGCTTGTATAATATGGGAGACAGGAAGCTTTTTTTTTTTGGTGTCCATGCTCAAGATCTGAATTCTGTCTTTTAGCTTTATGCACTCAAGGTTGGCTCTCTACAACCTGAGCCAGAACCCCACTTTCAGCATTTTGGTGGCTCACTACTATAATCCTAGCTATTCAGGAAGCTGAGATCTGGGGATCACAGTTCAAAGCCAGCCCAGTCAGGAAGTCTGTAAGATTATCCACAATTAACTACCAAAAAGGCTGAAAATTGAGCTGTGACCCAAGTGGTAGTGCTAGCCTTCAGCAACAAAAGCTTGGGGACAGTGCCCTGGCCTGAGTTCAAGCCCCAGGACATGTGTGTGCATGCACACACATGCACGCATGTGCTCACACACGTGCATGCACACACGCGTGCACGCACGCACACGCGCACACACACACACACACACACACAAATTCTCAAACTTTCCTCCCAGGGCAGGCTTTGAACCTTGATCCTCAGATCTCAGCTTGGTTTACATGTACTTTTTTGTTGTTTGTGTTGGTTGTGGGGCCTGAACTCTGGGCCTGAGCACTGTTCCTCAGCTCTTGAGCTCAAGGCTAGCACTCTACTACTTGAGCCACAGCACCACTTCTGGCTTTTACTGCTTATGTGGTACTGAGGAATCAAACCCAGAGCCTCATTCATGCATGCAAGGCAAGCACTCTACCACTGAATCACCTTCCCAGCCTCCTACATGTACTTATATCATACAAGCCTTACAAATGATTTCTAAGACTGGGCACCAGTGGCTCAGGCTTGTAATCCTAGCTACTCAAGAGGCTAATATTTGAGGACTGATATTTGAAGATTATGGTTCAAAGCCAGCCCAGGCAAACAAATCCATGAGATTCTTATCTCCAACTAACTAGCAATTTTTAAGGCAAAAAATTAGAGGTGTGGTTCAAGTGATAAGAGTGCCAGCTTTCTTTTTAAGTGTATCTGAAGAACATAGGGTACTTGAGGACCATTTTTCAAATTCTCAACTTAGCATTGCTAAATGCTCTAGACATTCTATGACAATGGGACAGAAATCTCTGTAAGCCATCTCATCAGATGAACAAGTTATAGCCACATAGTTATCTGAATGATGTACACATTCATCTCTTAATGAGCTCTCAGTGATAACGGGTGCTAAAAGATTACCAAAAGGGCAGAGGAGAGTTTTAGTGGAGGTGGAGGCAGAAGAAACTGATGAGAGGAAGAATAGCATCTGGGCAATTACAGGATGCAGGATGGTTTTTCTTTGGGCTGGGCTCAGCTAAGTAGGTCAATTACTCAATAAAGGAGTTCTCAAAAGCTTCCTTTCCAAACTGGGCACCAGAGACTCATATCTGTAATCCTAGCTGCTCCAAAGACTGAGATCTGGAGATCATGGTTCAAGACTATTCCAGGCAGGAAACTCCATGAGGCTTTTGTCACTAATTAAGCACTAAAATGACAGAAGTGTGGGTATGGCTCAAGTAGGAGTGCCTTGAGTGAAAAAGCTAAGGGGCAGCACCAGGCCAACACAGGCAGCCCTAGTACTAATACAAGGGGGTGGGGGGGGGGAAGCTTCCTGTCTAAAATGTCTCTTCCATATTATACTACTAACAAAGAAGATGGCATCACTATTGGAGACTCACTCCACTCTGTCTTTTCTTAAAAGATACACAGCCTAGGAGGGAGGAGGTGTCATTTGCAAACATGCCAGCCAGCTGAATGCAAGCAGAAAGCACAGTAAAACAACAAAGCAATGCCTGAATGTTGCATCACAGGCAGCTTTTGGCCAAGCCAATGTGAAAGGACTAGAGCCCAGAAATTGGCAGAATAAGAGTTGCTCAAATGGAAACAATTGCTTCATACTTCACAGGTTTGACTGAGGCTGGTAGGAGGGATCTAGTCAGCAGTGGAGTGCCTGGCGGCAGACAAAGCGGTACTTGTTCACTGCTCCCTCAGGAGGGAGTGATGGAGAGGACTGCATAATGAGCTGATGGGAGAAAAAGAGTAGTCAAAAGAAAAGAAAATTAGAGCCTTAGTAAAGAAATGACAATAGAGTAGCTGCTGATCTCCGTGAAGTTCAGATATTCATGAAGAAGTGAGACAAATAGAAGGCAAGGGACATAAACAAGACCGGTCTTCAAAAGTGGTTGGATGCCAGAAGTCAGGCTTTCCTTGTTGTGCAATGACTTTCCTCTGTCTTCCACTGCTTTTGGCCTACTGATCCCAGTTTTAATCTTCTAGTCTGAGAAGTAAACATATAACCAGTCAGTGTGCTGAGATCTGAGGGCTGCAGTTCGAAGCCAGCCTAGATAAGAAAGTCCTAGCAAAAAGATCAAAGTGGAGGATAGATCAAGTGATAGAGTTCCAGCTTTGAGCAAAAAAGCTAAAGGAGAGTATCCAGACTCAGAGTTCAAAACAAACCAACCAACATGTAGTCTCATAGCCTTTCATGCCAAGCTTGGTTTATGCCTTAGCTTCACCCAAATTGCACAAAAATGAAGACATTTCATCTCTTTATTCAAAACATGACAGTGCTAAATAAAAGTCCAAGAGGCATTAGGCTGATCTTTGGTCCAGAGAAGTAGAATTGAGCTGCTCAGGATCAGAGGGCACAAAGTTAGAAGTTCAAAGGTGAACACCCAATCATGGGGAGATCCTAGGTGTGGTAGGGCATGGGCTCAGCTGTTACAGGGCAGGGCAGAGGTTCAAACAAACTGCTGAGAAGGCAACTCTGCAAGAGGATGTGTTCTGGAATGGTCTAGGGATGACAAGTGGGGAAGGGAAGGTCAAGGCTATGGTCCTCATCTTTCCTTCCAGCTACTACCTAAAGGAAGAGGCACACAACTCCAGCAAGGGGCCAGAATAGGTGGTAGCTATTTGGATCCAGTCAGTAAAGCACCAAACCTCTCCAGAGCTGGTCAGCTGGTATTGCTAGGGAGAGGAATGCTGTCCATAAGGAAGAAGACAAATTGTTCCAATTTCTTTGCAGCTTGTTTTCCAGCCTCTAGTACTTCCTCATGATTGGCCTTCTCCAAATTTTCATAATCCATGATGACCTTATTAGTGATGAGTGAGAAGCCAAAGACTCGAAGTCCACAGTGTCGAGCAACTATCACTTCTGGCACTGTGCTCATTCCTAACAGGGAAAAAGAGAAAGCCGCTGTTAGAAACCTCAAATTATTTTTTCCCCTAATTCTGTGTGTGTGTGTGTGTGTATGTTGGCAGAGTACCGGGGCTTGAACTTAGAGTCTCATTTGTCTTGTTCACTCATGTCTGGAACTTCATCACCTGATCCACACCTCCAGCTTCACTTAAAGATGGAATCTCATGGACTGGCTTAGAACCATAATCTTCCATGAATCAGGCCTCAGCTGGATTCACACTGATTCTCCAGATCTTAGCCTTCTGAGAGTGGCTAGGATTTTAAGAATGAGCCTCCAGGGGCTGGGAAGGTGGCTCAATGGTAGAGCGCTTGCCTTGCATGCATGAGGCCCTGGGTTCGATTCCTCAGCACCACATAAGCCGAAAACATTTTTAAAAAGCCGGAAGTGGTGCTGTGGCTCAAGTGGTAGAGTGCTAGCCTTGAGCTGAAGAGCTGAGGGACAGCGCTCAGGCCCAGAGTTCAGGCCCCACGACCAGACCCAAAAAAGAATGAGCCTCCAGTGCCTGGCTCTTGTAGTCCAACTTTGTTATCTACTCCCATCAAAGCTACTTTACCAGATCCCTCACCCAAACCACCAGCCAAATTCCTTTTCTCACCAACAGCATCTGCTCCTAGGCTCTGCAGCAGGCGACACTCCGCAACAGTCTCAAAGCTGGGGCCTGCCAACATCACATAGGTCCCTTCCTGAAGCTCTCGCTGCTCCCCCATTTGTTTCCAGGCGCTCAGAGCCTTCTGCCTCATACTGCGGTCATAAGCATCAGACATGGCAGGGAAACGAACTCCAAACCTAGGGCACAACTTGGATTTAGATGAGCTCTCCCCCATCTGCTAGATAAGCCCTTAAACCCCACACATCTAAAAACAAAGAAACAAAGGTTCATACCGTTCATCATTAGGCCCTTGGAGAGGGTTCTGACCACAGAAACCAGGCAAGTTGATGTGATCACGGATCAGCATGATATCTCCAACCTCAAACTTGGGGTTCAGCCCTCCAGCTGCATTTGTGACCACCAAGGTATCCACACCCAGGAGGCAGAAAACCCTTATTGGGAATGTCACCTTAAAAGGAAAAAGATTAGAGTTTGGTCAAGGTTGAGAGCCAACCCACAGCTCATATCCTAGTATTATAAAAATTTCACCAATTTACCTAAAAATATGAAGATTATATATCCTAAAAAAGGAAAAAGGGGCCAAAAAACTACCTAGCCCAAATAAGTTTTCCCCCTTCTTTCAGATTAAACCAGTCCTATGGCCCTGATTTACCTTCCAGAGAGGGTAGCCTTCATACATGTGAAACCTGCCCTTCATCATCACGCAAGTTCTGCCATTCAGGATCCCAAACACCAGTCGGCCAGCATGACCTGGAACTACATGTAAAGAAAAATGAAAGGATTAGGCTTTTCTCCCCACTGAGACTGGACTTAAACTCAAGGCCCTCTCCCTCTACCACAGAGAGCCACAGATCCATTCCCAACCTTTGGTTGTTTAATTGAAGATAAGATTTTCATGGACTTTCCTGCCTGGACTGGCTTTGAATCCTGATCTTCAGATCTCAGCCTCCTGAGTAGCTAGGATTAATACAGGTGTGAGCCACTGGCACCCAGCTGCAATTATGCTTTTGCATAAAACACATCCATTAAGTGTTTGCTAAGAGGTACTAGTTACTGTGCTTAACATGTAATGACATCATTAAACAAAATATGGTAAAAAAAAAACTTGAGGAGGATTGAAGGCATGGTTCAGCAGTAGAGCACCTGCCTAGCAAATTGGAGGTCTTCAGTTCAAACCCCAGTACTATTGATAAATAAATAGCAAGTTAGTGGAGAGCCAACAACCACAATCATACAGTCCAACTTGAGGTTAAAACTCTGGGGAGAAAGTCCTTTAGCAGAAAATTCCAAAAAATTGAGAAAACCATAGTGCAAGAAAGTATAAATTTGTTAAAGTTGGACTGGGGTGCAGGTGGCTCACACCTATAATCTTAGCTTCCAGAAGCTGAGATCTGGGGTTCTTGGTTCAGAACCAGACCAAATCTTATCTCCAATTAACCAGTACCAAACTAGAGGCATGGCTCAACTGGTAGAGTACCAGCCCTGATGGAAAAAGCTAAATCAGAGCAAGAGGCCTTAAGTTTAAGCCCAGTCAATACCAAAAAATATATAAATAAAATAAATAAGCTAGGTGCTGGTTTCTCACACCTGCAGTCCTAGCTACTCATGAGCCTGAGATCTGAAGCTCGCCATTCAAAGCCAGTCTGGGCAGACCATCCCCAAGACTCTTATCTCCAATTTACCATCCAAGAAGCCAAAAGTGAAGCTGTGGTTCAAGTGATAGAGAACCATCTTTGAGTAAAAAGGCCATATGAAAGTCCAAGGCCCCAACTTCAAACCACAGTACTGGCACAAAAACAAAGTTGGCAATAATGAATTCAATAATTTTAGGTATCTTCCAAAATTTGTCAATTATTTTTCACAGTTCACTTTATTTATATGTATTTTTAATGTACAAAATTTTCAAAATTCTTAAAATGTGTTCTATATTACCCTAGCTAACTGTGTGCCTCCTCACCCCAGTAAGTGAACTCTGTTTCCCAAAGATTAGGCTAACTAAACAAGGAAAGAATCATGTAAGTCCCTTGCTTATGACTCCTCAACAGCCAGGAGGGAATGCATGCTCACATAAGCACATGAGGGATATGAGGGGAACAGGAGTTTTTACATCTGTCCCTCATCTCCTCTAATAGATAGAAAACCTATCCCCTTAGAGAATGCCTGGCCTAGGAGAGGGACAAGAACCAAGAGAAAATGTTGATGGACATTCAGAAATAGAGGAGCCTCTAAAATAAATAAGTTCAAATAAATAAAATACTAGCAATAGAGCAAAGATGACACAGTTAGAAACACCTAAGTGTAATATAAAAGTAAATAAGTTGATAAGCATAAAATTAACTTGCTTATCACTTAGTACAGTGCCCTGTCACTGGAGGCAGTGGCATTGAAGCCAATGTCACTACTATCTCCCTTAGAGTACTACACCTTCCCTTGCCTTCCCCTCCTTTCTTTTCATTTTTTCCTCTAACTCCTGTTCCCACACCTCTCCCTTCTCTAATCTCCTAGAATTGCTCCAAAGGGATTTTATTATTTCATTAAAAGTATTAATTCTAACCGGTGGTTCACACCTGTAATCCTAGCTACTCAGGAGACTGAGATCTGAGGATCAAGGTTCAAAGCCAGCCTGAGCAGTGAAGTCTGTAAGACACTTATCTCCAATAAACCACTAGAAAATCAGAAGTGGCACTGTGGCTCAAGTGGTAGAGCGCTCGCCATGAGCTGAAGAACTGAGGGATAGTGCTCAAGCCCCACAGGACCAACCAAAAAAATAAATAAATAAAAGTATTAACTCTCCAGGGAAAAAGAAAGGAATCTAAAAATTAATAAATAAACCAAGGAAGAAGATATTTGAGAAAAAGCCAAACAAATAAACTACCTTTCCTGTACTTACTTGACCCTGTTTCTCCTGGCCCCTTTCTAAATTTTAGCATAGGAGCTTTCTGGCTGCTGTTAAATTCTAGACAGGCTATCTTCAGAATCTGCTGAAAACAACTATACCAGGAGAGAATCTACCCTTTTCTCTTTCCAGAGGCTATGACTCAGATTTTATATTAATGCGTGATCTAGCCAAGTGCTCAATGGTAGCTCTCACCTGTAATCCTAGCTACTCAATACTGAGATCTGAGGATCAAGGCTTTAGGCCAGCCTGGGCAGAAAAAAAATCCTTGACTCCAATCTCTTAACTAACCAGCTGTGATTCAAGTACTTGAGTGGCAACCTTAAGTGAAAAAAGCTAAGCAAGAGTGCAAGGCCCTGAGTTCAAGTCTTAGTACCTTAGTGCTGGTATGCATGCATGCATGCATGCATGCATACACACACACACACACACACAAAATGTTGGTCTGTGTGTTGTTGCTGTGCACCTGCATGTGCCTAGACCTGGGGCTAGAGTTACATGGAAAGTGGCAGAAAGACATTGATTGGAAAGAAGCCTGACTTTGTTTTATTTTTGTGGTACTAGGGATGGAACTCAGAGCCTCCCAAATGCTATGGGCAAGTGCTCTACCATTGTAATATACCCTTAGCACTGGAGGATAATATTCTTCTTTCTTTCTTTCTTTTTCCTTTTTGTTAGTCCTGGAGCTTGATACTATAGGCACTGCTTTTTTCATTTAAGCTACAGGCTAGAGGAAATGAGGGGTGTGTAGATGGTGCTGGTAGATGGGAAGAGATACCATGTAAGGAAAGCTATTATACAGCTTCAAAAAGCTCTAAATCAGTAAGCACACGAAAGGAGTCTTCATAGTCTGACACATGTGCCCAGGTTATTATGGGATTTCAGGGGATATTCTTTCTGAAGTCATTGTGATTCATTCTCTCTCTCTCCCCTCTCTCTCTCTCCCCTCTCTCTCTCTCCCCTCTCCCCCTCTTTCCCTCTCCTCTCTCTCCTTCACTCCCTCTCTCCCTTTCTCTCCTGGTGTTTGAACTCAGAGCCTGGACATTATCCCTGAACTTCTTCACTCAAGGCTGGTGCTTGACCCATACCTTCTAGTTTTTTGCTGGTTAATTGAAGATAAGAGTCTCATGGACTTTTCCCACTCAAGATGGCTTTGAACTGTGATCCTCAGATCTCAGCCTCTTGACCAGCTAGGAATAAAGGTGTGAGATACTGGCTCTCAGCCTTTTATCTTCCTTAGTTGGATTTCACAGAATTCCACCAATGTCCCTCAATTCCATCCCCTGTACCCTTTTGCAAGTACCTGTGCTTTGGGGAAAATTGGGTATCTCAGTGTACTCAAAGGTCTGGGCCTCAGTTAATTTATCAGTCAGACCTCCTAACCCAGAGCCACAGATCACTGCCACTTGAGGTCGGTGCTTGGTTTGAGAGCGAAGCCATTCTGCAGTCTTCTGATAATCTTCATATGTGAAGCTAGGGGATAAAACGAAAAGCAAAATAAATTTTGCTGTTATTCCAAGGGCAACACAGAAGACCTTCAATGCAGAAAGGCATCATGGTTCATGATGGTGCTTTAAGAAGGAGCAGGGAGCCGGGCGCTGGTGGCTCACGCCTGTAATCCTAGCTACTCAGGAGGCTGAGATCTGAGGATCGTGGTTCAAAGCCAGCCCGGGCAGGAGAGACCGTGAGACTCCTATCTCCAATAAACCACCAGAAAACCGGAAGTGGCGCTGTAGCTCAAGTGGTAGAG